TCTGGACCTCCCGAAGTCCACAACCAGTTCCTTAGTCTTTGAGGTGTTGAGTTGCAGGTGGTTTGTGTGACTCCATGCGACAAAGTTCCTCACCAGACTTCTGTACTCCTCTTCCTGATCATCCCAGATACACCCCATGATGGCCGTGTCATCTGCAAACTTCTTATTATAATAAGAACCAAAACTTGGAATACAAAATAAACCTCAAAATACTGAATAAACCAGAATCAAAAGCTAAAAGACATAAACAGTGGGTCACAGACCCAAGACCATGACAGAATTCTTTGGTAATATACAAGTTCAAGTTTGGTGCACCTGTCTGAGGTAGAAGCCATATTGTTTTCTCCAACATGTGAAGTTGCATAACCTTTTCTTAACTTTACACAATCACAACAAATGTTTACTTAATACAAAGTGGTCTGATGATGCAAGGGTATTTTACCAGACACCGGCAGTACAGACCATTGAAATGACTTTATGCAACTGTGGATAAACATGAACAGCTGATGACAGAGAAAATAATATCAATTAATTCTAAATATATTTTTTTGTAGTAAGGCAGAACAAAAAGGGTTTTTGGAATAGAAAATTATCAGATTCCTGAAGCTGAACTTAATAAATTGTGTGTAAATGATCAGTATTTATTCATTTTTGGATGTATGCATTTGTAAAATAGTTTTAAGTGTGGCCAGATTGCTGTGTGTTTGTGCGTCGAGTGAAAGGTGTGCTTGTAAGTTCTCAAAAGTTACACACAAATTATTGCACACTAAGCCTGCCACTATTCGTTGACTAGTCACGATTATGTCGACTATTAAAATCGTCGACGACTAATTTCATAGTCGATGCGTCATTTGAAGCTTTGTAAGATCCTGAAAGATGCAGGAATAAGTAGCAGGATTTAAGAGTGTAGTAACGGACTGAAACAGAAGATGGAAGCACTGCATGTACAAGGATGCCAGCTGCCGTTAAACCCCGAAGAAGAAGAAGAAGCAGTCTCCGGTATCATAGCTGTGTCCAAATACAATTCGCATTTGTAGGCCGATTACGTTACAGTGGCAGTGACAAAGGCTGTCCAAATTCGAAGACTTCTCCAAATGCGGCCGACAAATGCATCCTTAATTTCCCCAGATTTGAAGGATGGGTCGGGTGTGTCCTTCCTGACCCAACCTATTCCAGAATTCATAGCTCGGCTCAGCCAATTCCAGTTTCCAACAATGGCGGCAGCTACTAAGTTTTAATATTACTCAGATATTTTCAGGCAAGAATGTAGCTATGTAAACTTCAAATATCTGCTTGATTTATCAAGACATCCTATATTTGCAAAAGTGTGCCGACATTTTTGGAGATGAACTGGCCGGGAGGTCAAGGTTCAACTCCCGGCACATCGTTTTCACTACTCAGGTTTAACATGATATATAAGTCACTTATAGATAACTTAAAAATGTTATTGTTTGGCTTTTTTCAGTGTTTTGTTTGTTCCTGAGTAAATCGGTTTGGCTGAGATTAAAGTTATAGTTTTCACACAGCTGAATACATGTCGAACAGAAAACTGATTAAACAGAAGTTTTATATGGTCGAGAATTTATTCCAGTGTCCTGTTATATTTTAGATAGCAAGGAGCAGACGGCTGAGTTTATTAAACTCCACCGAGACAATCTGCAAATTTCATTAAAATGTAATAAACTATCATCTTATCTTTATTTTTGGTTAGCACATACCTTATACATGTCAAGCTGTAAGCTAGTGATAGTTATATAAGTGCAGACACATGCTGGTGCAATAAGCTGTACGTTTTATGTCCAATGGATACATGATCTGATTAGTCGACTAATTGCAAAAATAATCGGTGACTAGTCGACTATCAAAATAATCGTTTGTGGCAGCCCTATTGCACACATTTGTAAATCTTAGTTTATGCTTGTTGATTGTATCGTACGCATTTGCATCCGTATTGATGAAAATTTCTATTGGTCATTCTTGATAGTTTATATATAATTACAAATCCAGATAGTCTGTTTCCAAAGCATTTTGCAATATTTTTATGTGTAAACCTAAACAGCATAGCATTCTACTCAAAGACATGATCAGAAACACAAAATACTTTGTGTTATACAGGATGTACAGTGAACTTGATCCCTAAAACGAGTTGTCATTGGATATATTTAAAATATATATCCTACAAAATTCAGCCCCCAATAAAATTATTGTTGGCTAAAAGCATGCCATCTAAATGTATTAATGTTTGTTGTAATCTGCTGGTCCTTTGGCTCTGGTTTTAGCAAACTGTGATTAAGTTTCTCTTTTGTCAAATTTCATCAGTGATCAAACTGTCTCTGTGAATTGCTGTAGTTTCTGCAAGGTCACTATTACTGCATGTTATGCTCCTTAGTCGTATTGAATTAATCATATTTCTGATAATGTTTGTATTTTTGTTTTACTTTTAGTTTATTTACTGAACTTACTAAGATAAAAAATATTTTTTTCCTACAGTGAAACACTCAGTGATCCATTTCCTCGCTAGAGTTCCAGATGTCTCAGAGTTTTTTAGTAGATCAGTGATTGATGGCAGTGAAGTGATTTCCTGTGACAGCAGCAAGAAGATAGTAGAAATAAGACATGACTGGCTGAAGAAAATACTGGATAACAACCCTACACTTTCAGAATCATTCACTCAACAGTGTTTTGTGATTGTACCAAACTTCTTCAGAGACCTGGCCTTTAGTTTGGAACAACAGTTTAACCAAAGTGACGGTGCAGTATTTTCTGTTATACCTTATGTCAGTTAATTATAAATCATGGGATATAGTGCCTAAATAAATGTGATTTAGGCAGTATTCATTTGATAGTCAATAAAGATTTAAATGCTAAATGTTCTGCTTCTTGATTGAGACCAGGAATCAAACCTTATTGATCAACATTAAAATAAAAGTTAAAAGTAAACATTAAAATACAACCAATGCATTTATATTATTGTTCTCAATCTAAGTTTTGCATAAAAAATGGGTATACTTGGATTTTGCTTTTACAAATTTATATATTAACATCTTTATTGTTGAAAAATCTTTATTATTAGCATTTGTAGCCTAGATGTCTATCAGAAGACTTCTGACACAGTCTTGAGCAAAGTAAAATATGCAACATTCCAATTATAACTTCTATTATTCATATTAATAAAAAACTGACAGATTATCTGACTTAAAACATGTACACAGACATTGGAGAATAGCTTTTCTCTCTTCCTCTTTTCAGGTGTCCATATTTTACAGAGTATAAGTGGCTGTGAATGGGATGAAAACACTAATGAGGTGAATAGCTTCTTTAAGTATGGTTATAATGGAGAAGATTTCCTTAAACTTGATCTGAAGACCCTGACATGGAACACACTGAAACCAGAGGCTGACATTATCAGACAGAGATGGAATGCTGATACTGCTAGAATGAAAAACAATGAAAACATCCTCACTCACATTTGTCCAGAGCGGCTGAAGATCTTTGTGGAAGCTGGAAAAAGTTCCTTGCAGAGAACAGGTAGAGTCATATTATCTCATGCTTTTTCCAGGTTGTAATAAGAGTAATTTTTGTATTTAGTGATTGGATAGAAGAAATTGTGAAATAGACTGGATCCACATACTTTTGTGCTGCTAAAGCCTATTATTGACAATTGATATTTTCAGAATAGGGAAGGAAACATAATGAACAGTGAACTTCCTTGTCACTAATACCACTGAACTGCATTATTGTTTCTTTTCTCTTTATCATTATATTTTCTTTCATATGTTTTTTGGCATGCTTCTATTTCTATGCACCAGTGTTGGGACTAACGCGTTATTAAGTAACGCGTTACAGTAACTACGTTATTATTGTGATAACGAGCACGGTAACTAGTTATTATGCCAAAACCAGGAACGCGTTACTCGTTACTGGGATTTAGATAGGCTCGTTATTCGTTACTTCGTGTGGTGGCTATCGCGGAGCTTCCACAGATTCAGTAACATTAGCAAGTGGTGGAAGCCAGCAGGTGGATGAGGGAAAAGGGAGGCAGGAAGAGGAGAGACCCGAAGCGGCCGCCCGTCCGAGTGTCAGGTGAACTGAACTTCAGGTAAGAAGTTATGACCTGCAGTCTATCTGGGTCAGATATGAACCGAGTTTAGGTGGAGTTTATTTTCGTTATTCTGACTTTTTCGTACTGCGTGCTAGCTAGCATGACGG